CTAAGAGTGGCGTTTATTACCAAAAAATAAAAATAAACGAAGGACGGCAAAATAATTTATTCAACGTATTTGTTTATCTTCATTTGACCAGAGTTCATTTCAGGGATTTTATTTAGCTTTTTATATTTAAGAGGATTTAGATTGCATTTAAGTGCGCATTTTTGAGCTTCCTAGTGAAACGGGGGGTTTACACAACGATGTTATCATTTTCAAGCCCTGTTTTCCCGAGCTCTAGCTGCCCCAGAATTACCGGAGAGCTCTGCTCCAATGGACCGTCGGGTCTGGAATTCTGGCCCAGGAATATTTCATATTCCCCGTTCTTTCCCCTGCCTGCTCGGCCGTCCTCACCTCTCCTCTCCGCCCCTGGGCTCGGGCAGCTCTGAAGCCAAGCCGCCCCTCCTGCGCGGGGATACGTATGTTTTTAGCCGACAGACAGATTTCAGGCCTGGCGTCTGTACAGAGCGAGGAGGACCGATCCAGTTAGAGAGGACGAGAAGAACCAGGAGGAAAACATGTGCTTGCTTTGAGGAAAAAAAAAAAAGTTAAATTAAAGGCAGCAATTTCTCAATCAAGGCAAATATTCTATTAAATTTGATTAAAGTTGCTTACTGCTTATGTTTATTCTTGCATTTTATTAAATACACAATAAAAACCTATGTTTTTGTACTTTTAGCTGAAAAAGTGAAATGAGTTGAGCTGCTAAGGACACCAGAAAATTTAATTATTAATCTTAATTGCGCAAATAATTAAAAATCAGTGTACAGTGAAATTAAGAAGTAAATCTGCTCACACGAAGCCCTTTCTGCTACAAAGAATTTTATTATTTGCAAAACTAAAAGCCGACTTTTGTTTTAGAATTAAACATAATTCCCACACTCTGTGTTGTTTTCTATTTTCCGTTGTTACCGTATTCATTAAGCTGGATAATTACGGTGAATTGCGAAGCGGGCTGGCATACGACCAAGCTCTTGCTCAGCGGATGGGGTCTGCAGAGGGGTCAGTGGAGGTCAAGGTGCAGAACAGTGCGCATCGTTCCTCTCGTTTATTTGGACGAGCTGGGATAATGTTTACCAGCGACTCCTGACGTTCTTTCCATCGTGTCTGCTGAGTGAAAGCTGCAGCTCTGAGTGCGGGACAAGCTGTGGCTGTCAGAGGCCCCTCCACGCCTCAGTGCATATGAAAACCCCACGGTGTCACCGGAGCGGTCCCGGCAAAGAGACGAAGCTCAAACTTCATGGGGCATGTTACTCAAAATGACAACAAAGCATAACGTTGTGCTGAAAGTACCGGAGAGCGGTGGTTTTTCACTCCTTCGATGCGGGAAAACTGTTTTTTCTGCTGGTTTGAAGTTACCGTGCGCGCCGGTTGCTGAACGCTAGAGCCCAATTCTGTTTTCTGTTTGAAAATGTCTGCTCGGTGCAACGCAATAGAAAATAAACAGAGAACGCTCAAGGGATTTAATTTTAAGATGCCTTTTTTTCCTCTGACACAATTTTACCGGCGTGTACGGTAACTTTGCTTCTGCTTTTACCGCCCTGTAAACTCGTCAAAGCCTTGTATGAGAAAATAATCAGGCTTTTTTTCTGCTCTTCTTCATTATGTAAGCCCACATCTGATAGTGTCAGCTCCTTTTGAAGCTCAGGATATTGAGGACAGCAGATAAGATGCGTTTGATGGATTAACGTGACGTGAGGCGGCATCGAGTCCATCGGTCTCGCTGCCCGTTTCCAAGTCCCTCCCTTTTGTTTGTCTCTTTTAAAAAGAGATTCTCTCGGTCATTTGTAATGTTGGCGCTGCAAACAAAGACACACTGATGAGTAAATGAACATCTTAGGTTTGCAGTCACACCACAGCAGAGTGGAGATATGGCGCACCCTGGCACACTCAGACAAACGCACACAGTTGGCTTTCGGACCTGGCCCGGCACCTCCGCGCTCCGTCTGTCTCCAGCGTGGAGGACAAATACTGAGGCTGCGCTCCCAGAAACATCTTTTCATCAGAGCAGCACAAGTAATGAAAGCCGTATGAGGCGGCTCACGCTCCAAACATGACTAATGCTGGAACCGCGAGGCTTCGTCAGGACCGACAAGTGTGCGGCGCTTTGGAAAAACAAGAGCCGAACCGGGGGTTTCTGGGCGGAGGAGGGCCCGCGGCGGCCGGCTGATGAGCTGGACCTTGGTTTGAAAAGAAGATGAGATCAGATCCCCTTCTCCCTGATTTCCTCCACATCCCTGAACCATTATCCTCATCATTAAATACAGCAGAGTGGGGGAAAGAAAACAAAATACTTCTTTTGACGGGGTTGGGGGGGCTATCATCGGCCCATAGTTGTTATATATGTATATATAGGTGTGTGTGTGTGTGTGTGTGTGTGTGTGTGTGTGTGCAGGTACTTGTCAAGGAAAAAATGGTGGGACGTGTTTGCTCTGCAGCTGCAGTGCAGGTCAGCTTTGATGTGTCCCTGCGCTCGCCGACACGCCTGGAAGTCATTTATAATTGGACAAAACCAGAGATGCACACTCTCCAGTGAACAGTGTGTGTGTGTGTGTGTGTGTGTGTGTGTGTGTGTGTGTGTGTGTGTGTGTGTGTGTGTGTGTGTGTGTGTGCGCGCGCATGTGAAAGAGAGGAGGTGTATCTCCTGGTCTGTCAATCACGCCCCCCACCTCCAAACGCTGGCAACAGTGACATCAGTGGGGTAAGGAAAAAAAAAAAGAAGGGATGGCGAGGACGGGCAGGTGAGGCGGCTGCCGTCCAATCACTGAGCCTGGCAACTGAACGCTTCCTGGACACGCAGGCGCCGAGGAACGGCGAGCTAAGAATAAAACTGTACCGCTGCCACCATCAGGTCAGAGTGGAGCCGCCGCCTGTCGCTCCGTGAACTCTGGCTAACCCCGACACGAAACCAGCAGAGCAGTTTGCGCACACATTTTATGCACATTTGTTTGTTTATTACGTTTCTGTTCAGCTCCGGGTTGAGGAGCACGGTGCTGCACTGACCAGCTCGAGTCTGACGTGGAAAACCTGCACACGTCTAAACGATTCTGACGAAATGCTTCAAATATCTAAAAGCAAAGAAGAGTAATAAAAACTTTAAGCTGGACGTCTTTATCGAGGCGAAACCAAACAGAGACTTCACTCCAGCGGGGGCATCAGACGGAGCTGAGGGCTGATCTGAGCCGCGGAGCTTTGTGGAACAGAAAGAGGCGCCGAAAACTCAAACAGAGCTGCACGCGGGGGGGGGGGGGGGGGCCTCCATAAGGCAGGGGGGCTGTGCACCTCACTGCCAAGTTAGCAAAAAATAAAAACACACATTATAACTGCAAAGGGCTGAGGGGGGTGAGTCACCTGACTCTCAGCTGGAGCCACACTATTTACTGTAATATATTTTATCAGAGTAAAAAGTATGCATAAAGGTGGTAAAGTTACTTCAGCTGCCCTTGATTTCTAACTTTTAACTTGGACTGTAAAAAATTTTAAAACACGTTCAGCTTCTACAAACACAACCAACTGATTCTTAATATTAGTTTTAAAATGTCACAAGCTTATAAATATTATTTCAATACAAATTTTACAACATTCAGATGACAGTGAAAGAGTTTTAACAAATTTCTGTTAGTTCTACTCCTTTTAGACATATCATTTTTAAAAATATACTTTTATTTTTACTGATAAAATGTAAAATACTCATAAAATGTGTAAAAAAAATGTATGCAAAGCAATGCAAATATTAATAATAATAAATTGTCATTGTGTTTGTTTGGCATTACGATGTCAGTGTTGCATTTTAAATGATACAAATATTTTTTAATGAAGTATAAAAATGAGGTGTGCAACATATTTAACAGTGTCCTCGTTTGTTTACTTCATGATGACTTTAGGTCAGAAAAACACTTCTGGAACAAATAAAACGCCTCACGCCAGCAGATTCAGGGCAGTTTGGCTGTTTCAAGGCAGAGCTGTGTGTGAGTGAGTGTGTGCAAGAGTGTGTGTGTGTGTGTGTGTGTGTGTGTGTGTGTGTGTGTGTGTGTG